ATTTGAAAGAAACAAAGAATTAAAATTAGATGGCTAGTTATTTATCCAATTAGAATGAAATTTATTGTTAAATAATTATTCTATTTTTAGGTTTAATAAATTATTATGCAATAATATCAATTTAATAAGGTGTTGGAACATTATCATAAATTTTAGGATGAATATTTTTATATAATTAATATTTTATCTCACTAAAAATCAATGATACCATTTTTTATTTTGTTTTTTTGATTTGAAAGATACAAAGAATTAAAATTATATGGGTAGTTGTTTATCCAATAGAAAAGTAACTATCATAAATATTTGTCAAATTAATACGGTGTTGGAACATTACCATAAATTTTAGGACAAATATTTTTCACCTATATATAATTAATATTTCATCTCTCTAAAAACCAATGATACCATTTTTTATTTTATTTTTTTATTTGAAAGATAGAAAGAATTAAAATTATATGGATAGTCATTTATCCAACAAAAAAATAACTATCATAAAAGTTTAATTACCCCTTATTGATAGAATTATATGAAAAGAAAAATAAATAATTTTTACTTGTATATCCAATTGGTATATTATATTTTTACTAGCATTAAAAATAAAATAAAAAATCTCTATAGTAAGTTATTAAATGATATTATATCCAAATATAAAATTAAGTATATTAAAATATAATTATTAAAAGATAAATTAAAATTATAAATACCAAATTTCCTAATAAGATATACAATCAATTATTGATTTAGTGATTTATTTTAATATATATATAAATAGTTGTCATGCTTTATTTTTGAAAAGCTAAATCACATGAACTTTACTCAACATTTTAAAATATATTTTTAGCTCATATTAATATGAGATGACTTTATAGTACTTTTTGTGTAGTGAATATCTAAATTGTATTTTTAATACTCAATTAATTAAATTAAATTTAGCTTTAAAAATGAATCAAATTAAAGAAAAACAACAAAGTTTAGTGTAATGCTAGTGGTACTTTTTACCACATCGGTGGAAGACACATGATCTTTAGCATTTATAATGCTATTAGTTAGAGCATTGGTAGAATAGAGTAATTACATATAGGTTGGGCAATGGGTAGTGGGCAAGGATTAAGTTAGTGCAATTAAGTAGGTGCCTACGTGTATGGGGGTGTCCTAAGTGTATGAGATTCAAGAACAAAATAATTAATTAGGAGATATTAATTATTAATTAATATTGTTTAGAAAAATCAACATCTTCAATGTAATGTGTGAGAAAGCACAACTTATTTAATTGAATAAATTTCAATAATATAATTTATTATTAATTAATCATTCTCCCATTTAAATTATACTAGCTATGGTCTATATATAAGCGTCATATTCTAGTAGGTGCAATATAGATCATTTTTGAATCATGATATCAACCAGTATATACCTCATTAGTGTTGAAGTGTAGATGTCGTTGTTACAATATAAACCAAGCACATAAAAAAGTATCGTGTCACGCCCCGAGCCTACACCCCGGACGTGGCTAGCACTCGAGAACCATTGCTGGCCCTAAGTGAACCCTTGGCCTGACTTACTTACTCAGCGGAAGTCTATATGCATATTTATAATGATCAATAGCACTGTACTCACTTGAATAATAAAATATTGAGAATGCTTAAAATTCATACATTCAACTTGGCCAAATGGCAACTCAAGTCTTAACATATGAAATGATAATGTAAAGACAACTGAACTACTAACTATCTGGCTGTCTATGAAGCCTCTAAACAAAAGGGATGTCAGGACAAGACCCCCGATCATCCTAACAATGAAACAAATACTGCAAGCAAAGTAAATGAGTCCTCCGGAATGCAAGAAGGATCACCAACAGTCTCTAAACTGCTCACTGGATCAACGATGCGCTGGATGCCGATCCTAGTTACCTGTGTTTGCATCATAATAAGATGCAGGCCAACTGGCATCAGTACATTGAATGTACGAGTATGCGAGTTGGAATGCTAAACACAACTTAAGCTTGAAAAGAAACTGAAAGGAACTGAAGAACTTACTTGGCTCAACTCAACTCAACATAACTAAACTTATTTCAATGTAAAGTAGTTTAAAAACAAGTGCAATATAAAGAAAAGCTATTTAAAACATGATGTCAACTCTATGTGTATGCAAAGATACACTAAAACTCTGAAATGTATGTAAAAATACAAATAATTGTGTATATAAGAATACAATTAACTTCTATGGGAGTTTCTCTAACCGACAACCATCACTTAAGAGCTATAGTGATGATACAACGTTTTACCTCACGCTGCTAAGGCATCCTATACCTTGCCAAGGGTATAGTTACTGAACTACTAAGTGGATCCACTAGTCTATGGTAAAAAGCACTAAAGGTTCATCTAAAAAGTATGACCCTTTTCTACCCATGAAGGCTACATGGTTTATGGGGGCTATGGGTTTTCTGAACGCTCCCCCATATCGGTACTCAATACTACTCCCAAAATATGATACTAGCTCTTTATGTTTAAAAACATACTTCTTATGTGATTTGAGATTAGTGCTACAAAAACTTAGCTCAAAAGGTTTATCTTTGAAATCAAAGTTTCCTCTCCTGCTTCATTTAGTAAAACGATTACTCTTTTCTGAAAACTAGCCCGAAGGCCCTTTGGAAATCGAGGTTTCCTTTCTTGTTTAAATGTTAAAACATTTAAAACCCTTTGGGAATACATAGTCCCCATATACTTTTGAAGAAATGAACTTCAAGCTTTACTCAACTTGAACTTTAAGTCTTAAAACAAAGTTAAAACATTTATAAAAGACTTTTGAAAACTTTGAAGAACTTCCCTTGACTTTGACCTTAACTGCTCTTGACTTGACTCTTAACTGGTTCTTGAATTGAATTATGGATTCAAGGATTGTGATTTGTGGTTGGAAAGAACTCATGATGTTTAGTAATGATTTTAGATGGCTAAACATGAGAAAAGACCAAAAATCAATATTTGAGGGTGGGTCCACGATGCGGAGAAGCATTTAAATTTTGGTTTAAAAAATAACTATTGAGGCAGAACGGTCCGTGACCGCTTCGCGATGCGAAACGATTTTTCCCAAAACTGGGGACCAGCTCCACGATGTGGAGGCACCTCCAAATTTCGACCGACAAAATTTTCTTCTTCGTTTTCCAACTTTAAACCCCCTAAACTCCATGGGTTCTTTACCAAACACTTAGAATCGATTATATGTTCAAAGTACATCAGATTCTACTCAAAATCAAACCTAAAAATGTGAATCAATCTCAAGAAACTCCAATCAGCACAACCCACAAGAATTCAAACGAAAATTTATCAAGAACTAAAGGATTTACTTTCAAATCTAATAACTTCGCTGAAATTGAATCATGATTGGCGCACGGGTCTACTAACCTAACGCTATGTTATCTCACATACCTTGTAGGGATCACCGCCGACGAAATCCACAAGCTAATCTCGACGAATCTTGAATGTTCTTCTCCTTTCTCCAAGCCCTAGCGTGAAAATCACTTTTCTAAAACTGACTAAAATCTGAATTTACCCCAATTAAACTCCAAAAAATGACTTAATTAAGTTGGGGTAAGGAAAAGACCAAACTACCCTTCAAAAATCCGGATTTGGACTTTCCTAATTCCAACAGCCCAACTTCCAAAGGGGATAACTCACTCATACGAACTCGGAATCGCGCAAACTCAGCGGCGTTGTAATGATCATTCCAAGACCTTTCCTACCATATCTGGAAGTACCTCTAACGCATCTTGAGGTAGAAGTTATGGCCATTTGAAGTTGGCCTAAACTCAACTTTTTCCTAACTTTAGACAAATTTCCAGATTTTCATTATTTCCTAAAATGACTATTTCCAGTTCTTAGCTTCTTCCTAGCTATTTCAAATTGCGAGATGTTACATATCGACTGTCTTAATTATCTATATATTTTGACCAACAGTGACAGTACTCAATTATCCAAGTTTTACAACAGTAACAAAGTACAAATTGCTACTTTTTCAACGGTAACATTTGCTTCTTTAGTGCATAAAAAGAAGTATTCATGAACTCTTCCATCTTATTCTATTTTAAAATACTTTAACATCTCTTTTAATTATGTCTCAAGCATCTCAAACATCTGATGCAAAAAAGTCTTATGTTTGTTGTTGTGGTAATTTAGCTATGTTGAGGACGTCACACATCGATACGAACCTAAGTCGACAATTCTTTAACTGTGCAATTGGGGTATGCTCTTTTTTTAAGTGGTTTGAAAATAATTCATCAACGAACAGTCCATGAAATTGAGTCCGGGACTCGAGACATCAAATTTTCAAGGCGTTACCGAATTTCAAATATTAGAAAGACTTCGAAACACTGAAGAAAATAGGGATTTGCTATTGACTTTATTAAAAGAAGATGAAGAACAAAGGGATCACTTTAAAGGATTGCTAAAAGACATCAAAATAGATAGGGATCAACTAAAACAAAGGTTGATATTGGCTGAAGAAAAAGAGAAAGGCATAAAAATAATATTGTATGGTTTGTTGTTAGTGGTTGCTTTTTGGAAATGTGTAACAGGGATGCAGTAGTACAATCTTATATCTTTTACTCATGTAGTACTATAGTTTATCAATAAAATGAAGTTTTTCTCGTATGGTAAGACAATGCATTATATATACAATTTAAAGTCGATAACTGACAACAATATCCATCAAAATAAAAATGACATTTACATGATCCAACTGTCTAAAATATCACTTCAAAAACCAACTACTTCAACAACCAATTGTCTTAAAAGGTACTTCAAAAACAAACTATCTCAAAAACCAATTGTCTTAATATTCAACCATCAAAAACTAATTATCTATAAACCAACTGTGTTAATCTTTAACCACCAAAACCAACCATTTCAAAAACCAATTGTCTTAATCATCAACCACCAAAAACCAATTGTCTTAAAACTCACTTCAAAAACAAATTGTCTTCAAAAACCAATATCACAAATACCTTACTCATCATCATTGAGCTCACCATTGAGCTCCATAACAATACCCATCATGTCCATTGAAATTTCATTACTGCCTTCTTTTCCCGCTTCTGCCAAGCCTTCTTCTACATTCTCTTCCTGCTTCTCCTCTTCTTTTTCTCCATCTTCTTCCTGCTTCTCCTCTTCCTTTTCTTCTTTTTTTTCTCTTCAATCTCCTCTTCTTTGATTTCTTCTTCATTCTTCTCTTCCAACTTCTCTTCTTTTTCTTCCATCTTCTCCTCCTCTTGTTTCTTCACTTCCAACTTATCTTCTTTTTCTTCTATCTTCTCCTCATCTTGTTCATTAACTTTTTCTGCAACGTACTCATCAACTGCAACAAGATCTTCATCGACTATTGCTAATGGAAGGATTTCATCAACATCAACTGCAACACCATCTTATCGACTGTTAGTGCTGTATAGTCTTCATCAACTGCTACAAGATCAGTGGCTTAGCATTCTTACAAATAAATTATTTTACACAAATAGTATATAAATTAGTCTACCTTTATTTTTCTTGTTCTTTTGAGCTCTCCTCAATTTCTATCTCGTATAAAAGCAACAACTTCCATCATTGATAGTTCAAGAGATGCAACACGCTCGCACAAATTATCATCTTTATTTTTCTGTTCACTCAAAAAAGAATTTTCACAAGGCTTATTGGAATTGTTCTCTCCCAATATTTCATCCTCCTCGTTCTCTACTGCTGAAGTGAGGACATTGACGCCTTTCAAATTATCCTTTAAGGCATTAATGATTGTGTCCTTCACTTCGTCCGTATATGGCTTTAATGTTGCCATGTAAGTTTGTTTTGTCTCACAGACAGTAGGTGTGAGGTATGGGTGCACAATCTGCAAAAAAAAATGTAAATAGTACAAAACATTCACTAATTTACAAATATTTCCAGATAATAATAAATAAATTTATACCTTTGTACTTCTCCCTTTGTACTTAAATGGATCACTTTCGACAATATTATCGCTCTTTGTCGTGTGCCATCTAAGTAAACGGGGAATGGGCAGAGAAGAATTGTCACGCCCCGAATTACCGCTGAGACGCGGACACGGGACCTAGGATCACAAGTGATCCCAAGCTAACCCTGTTGGCATGACATGAGCATACTAAGGATAATAATAACTGATGCGGAAGCTAAATCATAAATAAAATAGATATGATGGGGAAAGTCCATATACTATAACTGAGATAAATGAGAAGTGATGAGTTTAATACAAAGAAGGTATTAACTCAATACTAAGCAGAATCTAACTATGTCTAAAAATAGTCTCTAACTGACTAGAAATGCTGGGACAGACCCCAACTAAGTCTAGCAAGACTGAAACTAAAGGACTGAAAATACTGAAAAGAAACTCGTGACTATTATCCTCGGAGAATGAAGACTCACCACTGATTCTGCTAAACTGTAGATCGGGAACCGATCTAAGCGTGATCTGGATGCTGAGAACCTGAACCTACATCACGAGAAAATGTAGCGCAGAGTATGCGTCAGTACTTGAAAGGTACTGAGCATGCAGGATATAATAAAGTTGAAATAACATATAACTGAACAAAGCACATAAGCAATGATATAATCAGAACATGATATAGATACTGAATACTGAGCTAATTGAATGCAATGACCAATTTATAACATACTGAGACTGAATACTGAATATACTGATACATGGTCAATGCACCAGAATCTGACTGAACTGTGGGTGCTACTAATAACCGATAATAAAACAACATGAGCTAAATGTGGAGTCCGATGTATACTCCCCATCGAGAGGACCTAATAGACCCAGCCAAAGGTGTAGAGGCATGCTAGCGTGATCACTAAAATGATGCCCACAGAGGGGACTTACAACCTATGTGGCTAGTAGTTCTGGGACTGTTTGGGTACACTGAACCCTAGTCCAACTCGGTATTATGCTACTCCTAGTGGATTGAGTAATTTACACATTATGACTGAATTTCTGTTATTTACAGGATAGCTCAAACTGAACATGTAAATTGAGGATGCAACAATTAAACTGATATTGATGCATTAATAACTGAGGCATGTATAACTGAATAATTGAAATATCTTACCTAGCATGTGTAATTCAAGAACTAAAGAAATACATAGCTAGGGTTCTGGAATTTATGCAATAAACTGAATATTAACGTACTAATCTGATTTGGATCATTCTAACAACTAAGAACCCAACAATTCTAACATTCAAGAAACCCTAGGTCTAGTCATAATAAGGGAATCAAGAACTGACTGAAAACTAGGGACCTAATAGGTGAAAGGAACCCACTAGTGAAATCCACATACCTGGTGACAAATTCCACGGAGAAATCTTTCAATTTTGGGGATGGAACTCGAGGAAACTTGCTGCGTTCTTTAACTTAGAGTTGGTCACCTCTTTCTCTCCTTTCACTTCTATTTTTCTATGTTTTGATTAAAGATCTGACTTGGGTAAGTTCTAGTTATATTTCTAGGCTTAAGCTGACTAAAACCACGAAATTTAGGATTAAAACGACGTAGTTTAGGAGTCCAAGGAATAAGGAAAACACCGAAATAACCCTGACTTAAACTGCAGACGGACTGACCACGACCACCTTTACGGACCGTGTAAAGGACCACGGACCGTGAAGTTGGTCGTGGTCTGGACTTGGTGACTACTAGCTGAGGGCCTGAGTCCACGAGCCCTACCACGACCCGTGTGAAGGACCACAAACCGTGAAAGTGTCCGTGGTCTCCACTTGGACTGTGGTCTGGAAGGACTGGCTAGGGGGCTTACTGGTAAGGTTCCACGGACGCCCCTACGGGTCGTGTGAAGGACCACAGACCATGAAGGTCCTCGTAGTCCTCACTTAGGCGTGGCGGTCTAAGGGGCTGGTTAGGCAGGTTCTCTGCCTCGACTCTACGGGCGCCACCACAACCCGTTATTAAGACCACCGATCGTGAAGGTACTCGTAGTCTGATGTCTGGGCCTGGTGACTTCCAAGTCAAGACCACGGGAAGGTCTACAGATCATGGACATTATCACGGTCCGTAAACCCTGCCTTAGTTCACTGCTTCAGGTATATTTCAGAAATTTCTTTTTCGGTCTGGGTTTCGAGGTGTTACAATATCTCCCCATTGGGATCATTCATCCTCGAATGAAGACTAAACTAGCTGAAATGGAAGCAATTAGCTGCAACCCTACCACTAAACACTGAATGCTGATTTCTGACTGAACTGAGTTCCAAAAACATGCAGATACGCTGAAAAAGCAAGTACAGGCTGAAGGAAATAAATACTAAGACTGAATTAGTGCATGAATGACTGAAAAACTAGAAGAGGAACTATTACCTCAAGCTGGAATGGAATCGGAAGGAAAGAGGTGAGGATACTTGGACTTCATGGCTGCTTCTGCTTCCCAAGTAGCTCCCTCTACGGACTGACTCCTCCACAAAACCTTAACTGAAGCGACTTTTTTGTTTCTCAACCTTCGAACCTGACGATCAAGGATTTCAACTGGTACCTCTTCATAAGTGAGACTATCCTTCACATCCACAGTAACTAATGGCACTACGGATGCTGGATCACCCACACACTTCTTCAATAGTGAAAATGTGGAAGACTCGATGCACTGCTGCCAAATCTGCTGGCAACTCTAACTCATAAGCCACTTTACCAATCCTTTTCGAGATCCGGTAAGGGCCTACATTACTGGGACTGAACTTCCCTTTCTTCCCAAACCTCATCATCCCCTTCATAGGTGACACCATCGAGAAAATCCAATCATCAACTTGGAACTCTAGTTCCCTTCTCCTTACAGTTGCGTAAGACTTCTGACGACTCTGGGTTGTCTTAAGTCTATCTCGGATGAGTCACACTTTCTCCATAGCAAAATGGACTGAATTTGGGCCTATCAAGGCTGCTTCACCTACTTCAAACCAGCCCATAAGAGATCTACATCTACACCCATACAATGCCTCATAAGGGGCCATATGAATGCTGGAATGGTAACTATTGTTGTAGGCAAACTCAATAAGAGGAAGGTAATTATCCCAACTACCCTTGAAGTCGATCACAAAAGCTCACAACATGTCCTCTAATGTATGAATGGTAAGCTCTGCCTGACCATCCGTCTATGGATGAAATGCTGTGCTAAGGTTAACCTGAGTACCAAGACCCTTCTGAAATGACTTCCAGAAATGAGAGGTAAACTGAAGACCTCTATCTGAGATGATATACAAAGAAACCCCATGCAACCTCACAATATCATTAATGTAAAGCTTGGCGTAATCTTTCGCCGAATCTGTAGTCTTGATCACCAAAAAGCGAGAAGACTTAGTAACTCTATCAACAATCACCCAAATGGAGTCATGATGTCTGCGAGTACGACGTATATCTGTGATGAAATCGATGTTGATCACTTCCCACTTCCAAGTAGGAATGTCAATCTCTTGAGTCATATTTCCTGGTTGCTGATGTTCTACCTTGACTTGCTGGCAATTGGGGTACTTAGCCACAAAATCTGCTATATCTCTTTTCATACCATTCCACCAATAGACACCTGGATGAATAGAATATCTGGAGTTATGGACCTCTGCAAGAATGTGCTGTCTCAACTCACCCACATTTGGAACACATAATCGACCCTGGTAGAGAAGCACACTATCTCCCCCTTTGGAGAAAACCATAACTCTCTGTTGGTGGACCACACCTTCGAGTTCAAGTAATATCGGATCACTGTCTTGCTTTTCCTTAACTTCCACTACCAAAGAAGATTTTGCCCCATTCTGAATGGTTACACCACCATCTGATATGCTCATAAGCCGAATTCCTAGGCGAGCAAGTCTGTGAACATCCTTTGCTACATCCTTTCTTTCTTCCTCAACATGTGTTACACTACCTATAGATAGTCTGCTAAGGGTATCTGTTACTACATTTGCCTTACCAGGATGGTAATGCACACTCATGTCATAATCCTTGAGGAACTCAAGCCATCTTCTCTGGTGAAGATTCAAATCTTTCTGGGTGAACACATACTGAAGGCTCTTATGGTCTGTGAACACATCAACATGAACACCATACAAGTAGAGCCTCCAAATCTTGAGAGCAAACACCACTGCTTCACGGTCGAGGTCATGAGTCGGATAATTTTTCTCATGCACCTTAAGCTGTCTGGAAGCATAAGCTATAACCTTACCTCACTGCATTAACACACAACCTAGGCCGACTCTGGATGCATCACAATTAATGAGATAGCTGTCTGAACCTTTTGGTATAGTCAAAACAAGAGTTGTAGTCAACCTAGTTTTCAATTCTGCGAAGCTTTTCTCACAATCATCTGACCACTGAAACTTGACTATCTTTTGAGTCAACCTAGTCAATGGTAAGGCTATGGATGCAAATCCTTCCACGAACCTTCTGTAATAATTCGCTAGACCCAAGAAACTTCTGATATCTGTAGCAGAGGTAGGTTTGGGCCATTGTTTCACTGCTTCTATCTTCTGGGAATCTACTCGAATTCCTTCACTAGACACAATATGCCCAAGGAAAGCAATTGATTGTAACCAAAACTCGCACTTGTTAAATTTTGCAAATAACTGGCGATCTTTTAGAGTTTGCAGAACAACTATCAAATGACTCACAAGTTCTTCCTCACTCCTAGAGTAAATGAGGATATCATCAATAAAGACGGTAATGAACAAGTCCAAGTATTGCTAGAACACTATGTTCATCAAATCCATGAAAGCTGCAGGAGCATTGGTTAGTCCAAATGACATGACTACAAATTCATAATGACCATACCGAGTTCTGGAAGCTGTCTTCAAAATGTCACTATCTCTGACTTTAAGTTGATGATAACCCGATCTGAGGTTTATCTTTGAGAAATGACTAGCCCCCTGAAGTTGGTCAAACAAGTCATCAATCTTGGGGATGGGATACTTATTCTTGATTGTGACATTGTTTAACTGCCTATAGTCAATGCACATTCTGAGAGAACCATCTTTCTTCTTTACGAACAACACTGGTGCACCCCATGGCGAAATACTAGGTTTGATGAAGCCCTTCTCTAAAAGGTCTTTCAACTGCTCTTTCAATTCCTTAAGCTTTGCTGGAGCCATTCTGTAATGAGGAATAGAGATAGGCTTGGTATCTGGAATGAGATCAATTCCAAAGTCGATTTCCCTATCGGGAGGGACTCCAAGAAGATCATTCGGAAACACTTCTGTAAACTCATTAACCACTGAAACTGACTCAAGAGTTGGGGTTTCGGAGCTTGAATCCTTAACCCGAACTAGATGATAGAGATAACCGTTAGAGATAATCTTTATGGCCTTAAGGTAAGAAATGAATCGACCGATAGGCACTAAGCTACTACCCTTCCATTTTAAGATGGTTCATTTAGAAACTGAAAACGAACAATCCTAGTTCTACAATCGACTGAGGCATAACAAGAATGTAACCAATCCATGCCTAGAATGACATCGAAGTCTACCATTTCTTACTCTACAAGATCTGCTGAGGTGACTTTTTGAGAGACTGTGACAGGGCAATTTCTGTATACCCGTCTAGCTAAACTGGGTCACCGACTGGAGTAGAGACTGAGAAAGGTTCTGGTAGAGTTTCTGGACTAACAGTGAATTGGACTTCTATATAAGGAGTTGCAAAAGAATGAGTAGCCCTTGGATCTAATAAAGCATGAACATCGAGATCAAAGACTCGTTATGTACCAGTGACTGTATCAGGAGAATCTTCCTGATCCTGGCGAGCCTGAAGAGCATTGAGCCTATTTTTGGCGTTGTCCGGCACCTATACCAGATGAGTTACCCTGCTGAGTTGGGAGACTTGCTGGTGCTGCTGTAGTTGTAGATTGAGCTCTACCATTATTACTTCCTTGACCCTGTTTGGAAGGATAATCCCTCAACTTGTGACTAGACTAACCACACCTAAAACATCCTTCTTTTCCAGTAAGACACTCGCCCGGATAGTTCTTACCACACTTAGGGTAAGTTGGGTAGGTTTTGGTGCCTGAAATACTACCTTGAGACTTAGAGCCTAATGCTTCACCCTTCTGATTATTCCAAAACTTGGAAGATGGGACACTGGCTGATGAAGGTGCTGGAGTTGAAAATTTCTGCTGTCTCTGAGAGCGATTTCCACCACCCGGTTTCTGCTGAGAATAGTCATAGTTTCCTGTCCTAGCCTTCTTGTTCTCCTTAGCCTGTTCCCTAAGCTTGTCACCATCAATGTGCTGAGCATGGGGCATAAGCTTAGAGATGCTCATATTTTCCAGCAACATAGCATTCCTACATTCTGTCTTCACCAAGTTTGACACTCCATATAGAAAGTTATTCATCTGAGCCCTGGAATCAGCAACCATGTGAGGGGCATACCTAGAGAGTTGGGTAAACTTGAGCCCATACTCTTAGACTGTCATGCTACCTTGCCTTAAGTTCCTAAATTCCTGGTCCCTTCCTTCTCTCAACTCTAGGGGGAAAAACTTGTCCAGAAAGGTTTCTTTGAGACAATCCCAAGTAATAGGAGCTGCATCTGTACCCCTGTTCCCTTTCCACTAAGTATACCAGATATGAGCTACATCTTTTAGTTGATACAATGCTAACTCAACCCGGTCATTCCCAGTTACCTGCATCACCTCAAAGATCTTCTTGACCTCATCAATGAAGTTTTGGGCCAACTTGCGATCCTAAGAACTCTGGCGGATTCAACCTAACAAAGTCTCGCACTCTAGCTGCAGCTAACCCAACATTAGCATTTGCCTGAACTGGAACCCGCTGATTGTTCACACTCTGAGCCAACATCTGAATGGCGTTCCTGAATTCTGCATTCGAGACTTCTTGATCAGGAACTGGAGGAGCTGTGTTTGCATTCCTGGCATTCGCATTGCTGGCGTTAGCTCTACGGGGAGGCATGATCACTGAAACGTAGAACGTCGAGTTAGAATATGATTAGATCATACCTTACGCACGATAAGAGTAACAAGAAAATAAAGATTCTTTCTAAAACATTTCGTAGCCTCCTTCTCATTAGATGTGGTGCACTTCACACCCATGAAAATGATTCTACTTAGTGCGGCTTTTCAGACATCCTAGGACTCTTAAACCTTGTGCTCTGATACCAAGTTTGTCACTCCCCGAGCTAAACCTGAGACGCGGAAATGGGACCTAGGATAACAAGTGATCCCAAGCTAACCCTGCTGGCATGACATGAGCATACTAATGATAATAATAACTGATGTGGAAGCTAAATCATAAATAAAACTGATATGATGGGGAAAACCCATATACTATAACTGAGATAGATAAGAATTGATGAGTTTAATACAAAGAAGGTATTAACTAAATACTAAGCTGAATCTAACTATGTCTGAAAATAGCCTCTAACTGAGTAGAAATGCTGGGACTGGCCCCAGCTAAGTCTAGAAAAATTGAAACTAAAGGACTGAAAATACTGAAAAGAAATTCGTGACCATTGTCCTTGGAGAATGAAGACTCGCCACTAATTCTGCTGAACTGGAGATCAGGAACCGATCTAAGCGTGATCTGGATGCTGAGAACCTCAACCTACATCACGAGAAGATGTAGAGCAGAGTATGCGTCAGTACTTGAAAGGTACTGAGCATGCAGGATAGAATAAAGCTTAAATAACATATAACTGAAAAAAGCACATAAGCAATGATATAATCTGAACATGATGTAGATACTAAATACTGAGCTAATTGAATGCAATGACAAATTTATAACATGATGAGACTGAATACTGAATATATTGATATATGGTCAATGCAACAGAATCTGACTGAACTGTGGGAGCTACAAATAACCGATAATTAAACCACATGAGCTAAATGTGGAGTCTGATGTATACGCCCATCTAGAGGACCCAATAGACCCGGCCAAAGGTGTAAAGGCATACTGGTGTGATCACTAAAATGATGCCCACAGAGGGGACTTACAACCTACGTGGCTAGTAGTTTGGGACTGTTTGGGTACGCTGAACCCTAGTCCAACTCGGTATTATGCTACTCCCAGTGGATTGAGTAATTTACACATGATGACTGAATTTCTGTAAGTTACTGGATAGCTCAAATTGAACATGCAAACTGAGGATGCAACAATTAAACTGATATTGATGCATTAATAACTGAGGCATGTATAACTGAATAAATGAAATATCTGACCTAGCATGTGTAATTCAAGAACTAAAGAAATACATAGCTAGGGTTCTGGAATTCATGCAATAAATTGAATATTAACGTACTAATATGATTTGGATCATTCTAAGAGCTAAGAACCCAACAATTCTAACATTCAAGAAACCATAGGTCTAGTCATAATAAGGGAATCAAGAACTGACAGAAAACAAGGGACCTATTGGGTGAAAGGAACCCACTAGTGAAATCCCACATACCTGGTGACGAATTCCATGGAGAAATCTTTCGATTTCGGGGCTGGAACTGGAGGAAACTTACTACGTTCTTGAACTTAGGGTTGGTCGCCTCTTTCTCTCATTTCGCTTCTAATTTTCTAAGTTTTGATTAATGATCTGACTTGGGTAAGTTCTAGTTATGTGTCTAGGCTTAAACTGAGTAAAACCATGTAATTTAGGATTAAAACGACGTAGTGTAGGTGTCCAACGAATAAGGAAAAGACTAAAATAACCCTGACTTAAACTGCAGACGGACTAACCACTACCACCTTCACGGACCGTGAAGTTGGTTGTGGTCTGGACTTGGTGACTACTAGCTGAGGGCCTGAGTCCACGAGCCCTACTACGGCCCGTGTGAAGGACCACGAACCATAAAAGTGCCCATGGTCTCCACTTGGGCTGTGGTCTGGAGGGACTGGCTAGGGGGCTTATTGGTAAGGCTCCACGGACTCCCCCACGGTGAAGGTACTCGTGGTCTGATTTCTAGGCCTAGTGACTTCCAAGTCAAGACCACAGGAAGGTCTACGGATCGTGGGCCCTATCACGCTCCGTGAACCCTGCCTTGGTTCACTACTTTAGGTATATTTCTGAAATATCTTTTTGGGTCTGGGTTTCGAGGTGTTACATTATCTCCCCATTGGGATCATTCATTCTCGAATGAAGACTAAACTAGCTAAAATGGAGGGAGCAAGCTGCAACCCTACCACTAAACACTGAAGGCTAATTTCTGACTGAACTGAGTTCCAAAAATATGTAAATACGCTGAAAATGGAAGTACAGGCTGAAGGAACAAAATACTATGACTGAATTAGTGCATGAATGACTAAAAAACTGAAGAGGAACTATTACATCAATCTGGAATGGAATCGGAAGGAAAGAGGTGAGGATACTTGGACTTCATGGCTGCTTCTACTTCCCAAGTAGCTCCCTCTATGGACTAAATCCTCCACAAAACCTTAACTGAAGCGACTTCTTTGTTTCTCAACCTCCGAACCTGACGATCAAGGATTTCAACAGGTACCTCTTCGTAAGTAAGACTATCCTTCACATCCACACTCTCTAATGGCACTACGGATGCTGGATCACCCACACACTTATTCAATAGTGAAATATGGAAGACTCGATGCACTGCTGCTAAGTCTACTGGCAATTCTATGTCATAAGCCACTTTACCAATCCTTTTCGAGATCTGGTAAGGGCCTACATATCTGGGGCTGAACTTCCCTTTCTTCCCAAACCTCATCACTCCATTCATAGGTGACACCTTCAGGAAAACCCAATCATCAACTTCGAACTCTAGTTCCCTTCTCCTTACATCTGCGTAAGACTTCTGGCGACTCTGGGCCGTCTTAAGTCTATCTCTGATGAGTTGCACTTTCTCCATAGCATGATGGGTTAAATCTGGCCCTATCAATTCTTCTTCACCTACTTCAAACCAGCCCACATGAGATCTACATCTACGCCCATACAATGCCTCATAAGGGGCCATCTGAATGCTGGAATGGTAACTATTGTTGTAGGCAAACTCAATAAGAGGAAGGTGATCATCCCAACTACCCTTAAAGTCGATCATACAAGCTCTCAACATGTCCTCTAAGGTCTAAATGGTACACTCTGCCTGACCATCCTTCTGTGGATGAAATGTTTTGCTAAGGTTAACCTGTGTACCAAGACCCTTCTGAAATGACTTTCAGAAATGAGAGGTAAACTGAGGACCTCGATCTGAGATGATAGACAAAAGGAAACCCATGAAACCTCGCAATCTCATTAATGTAAAGCTTGGCGTAATCCTCCGCCGAATCTGTAGTCTTAACCGCCAAAAAGCGAGAAGACTTAGTAACTCTATCAACAATCACCCAAATGGATTCATGATGTCTGCGAGTACGAGGTAAACCTGTAATGAAATCCATGTTGATCACTTCCCATTTCTAAGTAGGAATGTCAATCTCTTGAGTCATACCTCCTGGTTTATGATGTTCTACCTTGACTTGCTGGCAATTGGGGCACTTAGCCACAAAATCTGCTATATCTCTTTTCATACCATTCCACCAATAGACTTCTCACAGATCGCGGTACATCTTAGTGGCACCTGGATGAATAGAATATCTGGAGTTATGGGCCTCTACAAGAATGTGCTTTCTCAGCTCACCCATATTAGGAACACATAATCGACCCTAGTAGCGAAGCACACTATCTCCCCTTTAAGAGAAAACCTCAACTCTCTGTTGATGGAATGCACCCTTGAGTTCAAGTAATATCGGATCACTGTCTTGCTTTTCCTTAACTTCCACTACCAAAGAAGATTCTGCCCCATTCTGAACGGTTACACCACCATCTGATATGCTCATAATACGAACTCCTAGGAGAGCAGGTCTGTGAACATCCTTTGCTAGCTCCTTTCTTTCTTCCTCAACGTGTCCTACACTACCCATAGATAGTCTGCTAAGGGCATTTGCTACTACATTTGCCTTACCAGGATGGTAATGCACACTCATGTCATAATCCTTGAGGAACTCAAGACATCTTCTCTAGCGAAGATTAAACTCTTTCTGGGTGAACACATACTGAAGGCTCTTATGGTCTGTGAGCACATCAACATGAACACCATACATGTAGTGCCTACAAATCTTGAGTGCAAACACCACTGCTGCAAGCTCGAGGTCATGAGTCGTATAATCTTTCTCATGCACCTTAAGTTGTCTGGAAGCATAAGCTATAACCTTACCTCGCTGCATCAACACACAACCTAGGCCGACTCTGGATGCATCACAATAAATGACATAGCCGTCTGAACCCTTTGGTAGAGTCAAAACAAGAGCTGTAGTCAACCTAGTTTTCAATTCTGCGAAGCTTTTCTCACAATCATCTAACCACTGAAACTTGACCATCTTCTGAGTCAATCTAGTCAATGGTGAGGCTATGAATGAAAATCCTTTCACGAACCTTCTGTAATAATCCGCTAGACCCAAGAAACTTCTGATATCTGTAGCAGAGGTAGGTCTGGGCCATTGTTTCACTGCTTCTATCTTCAGGGAATCTACTCGAATTCCTTTACTAGACACAATATGCCCAAGGAAAGCAACTGATTGTAACCAAAACGCGCACTTGTTAAATTTTACAAATAACTGGCGATCTTTGAGAGTTTGCAGAACAACTCTAAAATGACTCGCATGTTCTTCCTCATTCCTAGAGTAAATGAGGATATCATCAATAAAGATGATAACAAACAAGTCCAAGTACTGCTTGAACACTCTGTTTATCAAATCCATGAAAGCTGCAGGAGCATTGGTTAGTCCAAATGACATGACTACAAATTCATAATGACCATACCGAGTTCTAAAAGCTGTCTTCAGAATGTCACTATCTCTGACTTTAAGCTGATGATAACCCGATCTGAGGTCTATCTTTGAGAAATGTCTAGCACCCTGAAGTTGGTCAAACAAGTTATTAATCCTGGCGATGGGATACTTATTCTTGATTGTGA